TGGAAGTTTATTATTTCGCATTTTTATTTCCATTGGGAAGACTACTTCATTTTGTTTTATATTTATGATGATTCCTGTCTATGTGCCTTTTTAGTATGACTCCATGAAGAAACTTACTGATTATGCTCTGCACCTTAGAAATGTTAAATAAGTGTTTTAAATTTGGATAAATTACCATAGATGTGTGAATTAAGGTTCTAAAAGAAATTAATATTAGAGGAGAAACCTAACTAAAAAATATTAATTTTATTACTTTAAAGCTTTCTTCTAAGTATGAGTAGGAAACAAAACAAGTATATTATCTCTACATGTTAATCTAGCTGAAGAAATAGCACAGACACACATGAAAGATACCTTAGCAGCACATGTTAAGGCTAATGAGTGTACAAGTATATTCCAGACTTACTATACAGGCCGACTTAGCTCTAATATTTTCTTAATCAGTTTATGTCCTAAACAATGAACATTGAGACATAGAGTGACTCTGAGGCTTGTAACATTCCCAAGGAAAGATTCATTTCTGTTCATTACATGATGCTTGTTAAGACAGGTAGTAGACTCAGGTGGTTTGGAAAGACTTTCAGCACAAGGGCTGAAGCTAGGAGAGACTTCTAAATGATCAGAAAACACAGCTTCCCACTACTCACACTTTTGAGTTAACTGCCCTTTAAGTTATTGATATGCATTAGCTGGCCTTAGTTTTGTATCATTAGATATAGGGATTTTCAATGAAAAAAGAGAAGAAGTCAGGTTCACAAAAGGATCTGTGGGCTGAAAGCTCTTCAAGTTACTTGTGAGACATTGTTAACAACAAAATAACAGGGAAAATCATGTATCTTCTGTGATATCACAAATCTTGATCCATGTCTTCATTCCTTTTAGTTCACAAACACTGACTTTTGTTGAATTTGAAAAATAAAAACCACAAAAGCTGTTTGATCAACAATAGTTTCTTGTCCTTTGCATCCTAGATTAAGAAGAAACAGCAAGATGTGCTTGGTTTCTTAGAAGCTAACAAAATAGGATTTGAAGAAAAAGATATTGCCGCCAATGAAGAGAATCGGAAGTGGATGAGAGAAAATGTACCTGAAAACAGTCGACCAGCCACAGGGTACCCCCTGCCACCTCAGATTTTCAATGAAAGCCAGTACCGTGGAGTAAGTAACCAATTTAAATTCTTGTTTCTTTTTTTTTTCCGAAGGGATTGCCTCAAATCCATCCTATCCCTTTCAGCTCTTTGCCCAGATCTACATATAGTCATTTCTCCTGTTCATCCACTGCATTCGTCCTAGGCAGCTGAGGTATTTTGCCTTCTACTAGCAGGCAAATGGATGAGTCATCCATCAAAAAATTACCTGTAAATGTATAAATACAGACCTNCATCCATGCAGTTGTTTATTCACTTATAGGCCTTATGTGTAAGAATTTAGTCGTAGAAATTGCGAGCACCCATTTAGAAAGTTTCCAAATTTATTTTGTAATACTATTCTGTCATTGTTCTGGAACAATATACTATAACATTTGTGATCTCAGTGTTCACAGATGGCCAGTTATATTACATTTTACATCATCTTTTCACTAAAACTATAGATTGCATGCAGTATAGATTAATGTAACATATATCATTTGAGCTATCATTATTAAGCTTAGTCTAAGTGGCATAAAAAACAGTGATAAGTGCTTGTTCTCTCTTCTAAGCGTTTTGCACTCACTGGCTTTGTCATTCACTTGGCCCCTCTCACCTAACCACCTTGTATGAATAGCCATCCGTAAGACATGGGTAGCCATGTCTTAGCTTCATATTTAAATGCCATGTTGTAATTGAACTTTTTAATATATATGTCTAATCCCTCCCACTAGATTTTAATGTTTTATAGGAATTTCTGCTATTTTTCTTGAGACATTTTAGACAACCTAATAAGATTCTTACACATGTAAGAGGCACACACAAAACATTGTTAAAATGGCTACTAAATACAATTCCATGCAATCATTTTAGATTTTATTGCATCATAGTTGGAACCTCTGTAAGTATTCATTATAGTATCAGCTAAGACAATGTGACAGAGGTTGATTATAAAACAAGGCAAAACCCCCACTGTGATTAAATGTTCTATGATAGGTTGATACTTTCATGAAAAATAATCTTGTTTTCCCATCTGAAGCATGATTATTACAGTTCTGCTCTTCCTTTAGAATTTGAACATTCACACTGGCCCTGTCTAAAGCAGAAACCTTGTCAGTTTTCTTCCTTTAAAAGAAACTTTACCCTTGGCATGGCAAGCAAGAAGCTTACTGAGGCTAGATGGAGAGCAGCTGTTTCATCCAGGCAACAGTTGCTCAGTAGCCCTGCAGTTTGTCTTTGGAGGGAAGGGTACCTTGATTCTCAAA